TATGTGAAAGTATCAAAATTCCTTATAATTTTGACTGACTCACCTCAGACAAACTCTTCAATTCAGATGCTGAAGTAGCTTTAAATTCATTGCTGGAAACAATGTACTCATCTTCAGAAATGGGCAAGAAACCATCCTCAGTTCCGTCCAATGCACTGCTCAAGTGACATTTCTTGAACGACTTAACAATGGCCTCCACGGAGATTTCATTCCACGCCGCAGATATCCAGTAAGACAATAATGACGGCGAAGCGCTTTTCAGTCTACCTTTAGAGAGCAACCATTTCTCACACTGACATCGAAACCTCTCCTTGAAAGCCTTATTGATATAGATGTTCACCGGCTGTGGAAGAGATGCAGTGTTATTTGGGACCACGACAAGATCTGTGTTCCCTCCAGTCAACCAATCTTCAGTCAGAAGGTGGCTCATCGAGGAATCGAGAGTTAACATGGCCCGAGGATTCAACTCGGCTCCTGGACGGCTACACCAAACAGTTTTGTACCAATCCAGCATCAATTCAGTGGTCATGCATCCATTTTCTTGAGTCTGAACAATTACATCTCCCGGAAAGTTCTTTTTTAACACGTTTTCACATTTAAAAATGATGTACGGTGGTAACTTTCCACCGTCTGCTGTTACACATAGCATCACCGTGAAACCCTTATTACTAGCTGATGGCAAGTCAAGAAACACGGGAATTTCATTTGCATTTCCAATCTGACAAAGGGGGTACATATTTTGTTTCCGTAGATGCACGATAAACTGCTGATATTTCAAAAGTTTTTTCTCATATTCCTCTGACATTTTATTAACTGTAGATAATTTGTAATGGACGAAGAACGGCTTTCGTTTTATGAATCTCTTAATCCAGGTACGGGTAGCCTCAAATTGCGCTAGTGGAATATTGAGAGACATGGCTAAATCGTGTGCTCTCAGCTGAACAATTTCTAGAGGTACAGGACTTCCATTTTTTTTCAATTCATTAATGTACTCGCGCAATGCATCTTCAATCTGATCAGACCAAGTACGAAATGACCCAGTAATAACTATTTTTGATTTCCCAGTGGAATTGAAAATTTCTTCTTGATGTTTTCTCCACAGTCTAATACAGCTTTCAGGGATTTCAAATGCTCTTCCTGCGGCCCGATTTCCATGTTCTTCTGCATATAATATTATTTTCCTCTTCACAGCTGCGTCATAGACACGTCTCTTCTTGATGTTATCCATTACCAAAGACTTTGACTCAATTTTGACTTCAGCTCTCCACTACAACATACCACACTGAAACGAAAAAATTAAGCATATCGCACAATGTAAAAGATGGGATAATAATATAAAATACATCTCAAAGAAATAAATGTATGTGAAAACCAATTGTCTCCACCTATTGTGACAGTGACTGAATCAGCATAAAATATTTCATGACTAAACACATGAAAGATAACGGTACAGTTAACATTTTTAAGTTGGCTCATTATAAAAGAAATTCATTCAGTCATTTATTTAGTTGTGACCTCTAAACAGAGGTTGTGTCTTCCTAACGCTGTTTTTTGCAGGACACAGCTCTAATATAACTATCTCTAATGGGACCACTCTCTCACTACAAATATTCATTCACATCATTAAAGTTCTGCTCACTCCCCCCCCCCCCCCCAATATTAATTCTCAGAATTTACACAAATGAAAGGCGAGGTTTTGTAAGGGAATTCGTTAAAGTAGATTCTCAATTTACATTGCACTTTTGTTTATTTGATTCGCCATCTCAAAATTTTTTTTTGTACATATCGAACTTATTGATTTTAATCTTAAAACTTTGCATACCGTGTAGTGTATTAGAATGTAAAATAAGCAAACAAACAAACAAACTATTAACACTATAAATGACACTTGTGCCAAACGCGTTTCGACCTCAAGAGTTCATCATCAGTGGGAACAGGGAATTAATTCGTATAATCAAAATGGTTTAAAAATGATTTGTGAGGGAACAGTGATTAATAACAGGCCTATAATAGTTTTTATTGACAAGCCGTGACTTTATGTTCGTCTTGTGGCTTAAATCGGTGGACTGCTTCGTATGTCCGATTAATTTCATTTTATTTTCTAATTCATCCTTTCTTTCTCTTTACCTTCCTTCGTCTGTTTATTTCCTTTTTCTTTAATTGCGTCCTTTCTTTCTTTCTTTCTTTCTTTCTCTCGTTCTTTTCACACCCGCTTTCGTAAAACACTCAGAAGGAAGACGATGACACAAAGGAGAATATATCATCTGCGCAATGGAACAAAAATAGCACAGTTCATTGGACATAATTTATCCTTGACCTTCCAGACGTCGGTACATAATTTCTGCCAATCACGTAATATGATGGGGAGTTTACATGGGCAGGACATGTAGCACGCATAGGGAATGCGACATGTTTGCAGGGGTTTGTTCGGAACGTTCCGAGGGAAGTGAACCCTTTGAATACCTAATCGCTAAAGGGGGTTTATTATTAAAGTTGATGTTACCTCAGTCGGTTGTGAATATGTAAATTGGATTCAGCAAGCTCAGGGCAGGATTTCGTTAACATGGTGGTTTAGCTTCGGATTCGATAAATCGAGGAATACCTTGAACTGTTGTGTAATTATGCTTTTTTTTCATTTTAGACCTTGTACGATGGATTTAGTTGTTATTTATTAATAATCAGCTCGAAATATTTTTCTAGACGTAATTCTGCAACGTCAATAATTCGCATATTCAGATATTCCTCAGACTGTTTGCACACGGCTTGTTTAATGATGTGCTATGTACACTCTGCATAGTTTCCTTACCATACTATCAGATAATCGTGCGATCTTTTGTGGTTCTACGAATTGATTTTCCTTCAGTTTATTAGAATTCCGCGGGTAGAATTTTATTTCAATACGCTGAAAGAATTTCATTGCTGCTCACAATCCGAGTGGAATGGGCAGAATATTTTACCATCACGAAAGTTGAAGGAATTCTTCGCAAATCGCAATTCGGTGGTGGGGATAATATGAAAGTTTTGAGCCACAGTGCAGAATTTAGAATTTGGTGGATTTAATACACCTGCTTAATTATAACATGACTAAGAATTTGTTTTCCTACGATTCGATTATTATTCTTAACACCAGTAAATGAGTTGACGATGATCTTGCCATGCAACTCTGTCGGAGGTGAGGAGGGCACAGATGTTTACAGAACTGCAATGTGGGCAAATATTTTGAATATACCACTCGAAGAATTGAGGAGTAAATTTAAGGATATTATTAAGATAAACTTTTTACGTTTGTGAGGTTCAGAGGTGAATGTAACTGGCTCAGGATGATATCTGATGGCTGTGTTGTCTTTTCAGGTTTCTTTACCGCGGAGGTAATATGTTTTCTGTTTTTCTGTTTTATCAGTTGCTTTTCGAGTTTACGTGCTAATAATGACTCGTTTGCAAAAATGACATGTTAGTTGTCAGTGTTTCAAGCCGTGCTGTTTTAGAATTAGCCCCATAGGACTTTGTGGTCGGCACGGCCATACTAATGAATACAGTATGTGAGACGACACACAGACCCCTGTAGACTGGAGGCTGAAGTTGCGCATTATATTCTTGCATGTGTCGTGGGTTTCATACATTTCAACACAGTAATCATCATTGCCATAATTCCTTCTTCCCGGAATCAGCTGATGGACTAACTCATTAGTGTCTCGGGAAGGGCTGTGCTTTATGGAACTCAAAGTAGACGGTACAGAAATGGGATTGCTTGATGTTCATACCAGTTTTAAAAAAATCTGTCGAATGTTAATAGGGGTATGGACACGAAAAGACTTACGGATAATGTAAGCGTCTCTTTCAACATGAAATAAGAAAGAAAGGCAAAACAATGTGAAGTATTTAAGGAGACTTCTTACCCCAATCCAATGTTACCTCACACCATTGACCAATCCCAGTGAATGTTTGTGTGTATCGAGACATCTTAAAGGAAAATTTATGTACTCCCGTAGCCATGAAACCAGTCATTAGGTAATCTGTTGTGGCTTTTGTAGTCAATGATACAAGCGAAACACTGAATTTTTTTCTTGTAGAATTTAATATTACTGTAAACATGAGTAGATGTACCTTTGCCTCATTATTTTCTGAATCGTGTCTTGTCTGTCTGTGCAAAATATCCAGATTTAATCTACCGAATTAAATTGGGCATCTTTGTCTTAAATTACGTAATGACTGGATTGTTGTTTGTTGTGTGTGTGTGTTTATGCCAGATAAAATCTAATGGGCTTCAGTATTTTTAGTATGTTGAGCATAGTCATAACTGTGTATCGCGTGCTTTAATCATTAACCCGGAATTTGAATCGTAGGATAATTTAAGTGTTTTTTTTTTCGAATCTCACATTAATCAATTGTTCCTCACCATAATTAACGAGATGGAGATGAATTTTATTTCCTTGGAATTAGGTGCCAAATTTTTGAATATTTGACATTTTTAAAAGGAATCGATCTTTCTACAAAGAAGATTCCGTATCTGTTTGCTAATACTTTAGTGGGAAATACAGTGTCTGCCTAAGGCACGTGAAGTGGTTTCCGTTGCAAAATTGACATAGTGATTTAATTTTTGTTATTCACAGAAAAGAACCAAATTGAGTTGTGACGATTTGGTCGGTCTTTGAATTCATGCGAGGAATATACGATGTCTCACCATAACTGCAGCCTGTTTTATTTCTATCTGTGATAAACATATTGCAAAAAAAAAAGTGGTTGTATGTTTCTGAAACACACATGTGTCATAGTCTACTGCTGTAGTTGTAGATGCGTAGTTTTGGTGGTGCGTAGTTTTGTAGATAATGTGTAGCAGTAACTGAAGACGTAGTGTTGTCCTGTTGTAATGTTTGATATTTTCACTTGCTGGATCGCATATTTTATTCAATTTTTTTTTCTGCGCAATAAATGAAAAAGCAAAACTTGTGACAGAATAAAAAGGGAAGGAATGGTTTGAAGAGTGGTTCTCTTTCAGCAGACTCGATCCGATGAGCGTGTTGGTGGTCGAGAATGGTGCCCGAATGTTCGCGTCAAGGTAGGTGATTCCCACCCTTCCTTGTTTCATAGCAAGCAAAGCGAACAAGCAATCCTTTTTCTACTCTTCCATTGCGGTGTTGTCATTGTTAGTGTTTTCGTATATTAGAAGTGCATTTCAACTTTACCTACTGTGCAGTACATTACATACTCCATTTTAATGCCAAATTACGTTACATGACAACGTGAAATTATAGACGGCTTTTCCAGGTAGCACTGATGATATTATATATTTGTTATGGAGAAATAACAGACATGCTTCGTACCGCGGATTTGAACGTCGCTCGCTGTGTACATATTTCTCAGCGTGTTTCTGCGGTGTCCCATGGCGGCAGAGACCTCATTATCCATGCAAGGGATCCTAATTCTAGTCGTCATATGTAACTTGGTAGTGAAGAACCCCATTGAACATCTCTTAACGTATTCGTTTGATCAAGGAGGTCCATCACCGTAGTCACAAAATGCTGAGATTGGACGTTGTCCTTGGTAATTTTGAGTAAAAATAAATGTTATGGTGTTCCTATTTGTTTTTAATCATTACCTCCTCACTGTGTGACTTTCTTAATTCCTTCGATATTTAATACCTCCTGAGTACATTCCTTCCTCAGCACTTCAATCCCAGGTACCCATAGTCTAAATACAATAGCTTGCAGATTGGGTATCCTGATTTTTTTTTTTCGCAGCTTTTCTCCGCATCTCATCTCAAAGCAAACTCTGAACTAATGTCATAAAGTGACACCTGGAGTTTCCTTCCATATCGTTCCCGGTGCTGTATCGTAATTCCTGAATTCGTTAAATAAACAGGTAATAAAGCGTATAAAAAGTTACTCGATGAGAATAAGAAGCAATGCTTACTCTCCGAATGCTTTACCCTTTGGAATTCGCTGGGTAAAAGGAAATTTTGGCCGCAGAGGTCCAGTCTGGGCGTAGTACCAAAAAGAAACCCTGTTCCTGATTGTTTTACGCATACGTCTTTATGGCGTGGCGCGTAATAGGTACCAGGGGCAACTTTTACTTTCATGCGGTGCACAAGGCATAAATAACTGCAGGCATAATGCGTATTTGAAAATCTCATTTAAAGATAATATTTGGTAGACTTAGACGTAGATTGGTTGGTAGT